GCCATGGCCGCCGCGATGAAGGGAGGCACTCCTGGTGTTCCAGGAGGCCCCACTCCGGAGAACATCAGGCCAGAGCCAAAACTCGGGTGCAACAAGGGCCTCGCGGAAAGCCTCAGCTTCTCGATTTCCGCCTCCTGCAGGCGCTTCGCCTTCGCTCGCCTGTTTTGGAACCAAATTTTCACCTGCAACAGAGGAAACTTGTGAAGGGTTAAATCTGGTTACCGAGGGTCACGAGAACCGATTGTTTCGCGCTATCGTTGCGAAGAAGTTGGCTTTGTTAAAAAATAAACCGATGCATTCGTCGGTTCCTACTGGCTCCGCGATATCCTCTTGTAACCTAGTCGGACATTCGCGTGATCTCAGAGCCGAACGATGTACACGTCCGTTAAATTGCGTAATTTGTACAAATAAAGCGTTCTTGATCTTGCGTTATTTCTCTGCGAGACGACCGTGTTCTTCTCTTCGGATTTGGAGATCGATTACGATTACCAACGAAAGCTACAGATCCCCTCCAAGATTAGTCGAGAAATATTTCGTTGCACGGACAACGACGTAATAATCGCACGAAGTAAAAATTCTTAACGATCGATCGTCGCTGCGCTCGGTTCTCAAAATTTGTTTTACAAATCGTCACCGCAGAAACGAGCACCGCATCAGCTCGAGCTATCATCCGGTACGTAGCAGTAACTGTAATCGACACCCAAGACGCTACTTACTTTCGACTCATAATTTACGTCTACCGTTAGACGATCTATAATTTCCAAGACGGATTTTCGTCGAACCTCGTCCCCGTACTCGTAGACGACCGGTCCACGGAAGCTTGACGCGACTTGCAGCTAAAGTAGAAAACGGTCGCGGTGGACGGACACAGGCGAGAGAGATACGCGCGGCCGCGTAATTAAATAATTACGCTATCGATCAAGCGTGCGCTACGTAAGCGGTCTAACAAGGGACGCGACGGGATCGAGCTGAACGTCGAGTAGAGAAAATAGGTGCACCACGGTACTGCATGAACGGCTATTTAGCGCGTAATTAGCCGGCTCAAATTGGTGAAAGCAGCCGGTCGTACGGAGCGGCCTGTTGGAATTCGTCGATGTAGTTGGAAACTTGCTACGTGGAAAAATATGCGGCTCGAATTCGCGGCTCGAAACCCTTCTCTCGGCCGGTTAATTGTGTTTGCACAGTCGCCGGCCAATTTTTCTGTTTGGACAGATGCGGCCGCCGCTGTAGCCGCGTCGCGAATCATCGAATTGCGACACGCTGTCCGACCATCGGTCCTCCGGCGTTTAGCGTCTGTTTTTAGTAGCAAGTACGAGCAATCGATCGTGATTTCCCTGCGGGAATCGTCCAATGGAAAATTTTGCGTTCTCTTTGGTCGCGTCAGCGACTAGTTAAAGAACGTACGCACGGTTGTCTCGATGTTATTAATCGCACCGGCGATGTATAAAGAATCGTACCTCGAATCGAATTCGTCGATACCTTGGTCCAAACGTGTTGGTAAAAGGTTCGTAATTAGAATTGATTTAGGTGCATCCGATAGGTAGATTTCGATGAAACGGTCGCACGAACAATGGATTGTTCTAATTAAACGGAAATTATTCAAAAGATTTGTTGGAATCGTTGAAATATTCCTAACTGTTAAAGTATCAAGGATGTTGGAAGAACGCTTCATCCAGCGACTTAATCCATCATCCGAACGCTAATGTCCTAGTAGCTGCATGCGTAACAACGACGATCTTCCTATTATCGTCGTTATTATTCTCGTTACCACTATTTTTATCGAGCGTAATGCGCGCAGACTACGTTAGCTCCCCGGGGAATTAGCATTAAACACCCTGGAGCACGCGTAACGAGTTCAAGGAGCCGTAATCTGATCGCTAAAGCTGGTATAATGTTGGCGAGTTTAAGGGTAAATAAGAATGCAGATGCGAGAAAGAAAGAGAAAAAAACCGATATAAATCGCGTAACTCTTTAATAAATCAGCCACGATGTCGGACACGTTAGGCGTATGTACGTAACTCAGGCCTCGCGGAGGATACTCTCGTCGCTTAGAAAGTAGAAATCTCGCATCGCGTGACAATGTGCAATCAAATCGTTACTGGTTCCCCGAAGGAGGAAAGACATATTGCGATATTCCGCGTGGTTTTTCTCTTCAGCGACGACTTCCTGTTTTTCACGGTTAGCCTAACGCTTTACCATCGGCGGTTCGCGCGCTCAATTTTCCAGCCACGGGAATAGTAGCACCGCCTCTGCGTTTTCTATTCCGTTCCTACGATTATCCTCCCTTTCCTCGATCACCGTGTCGAAGGATTAAAGTCGATCCTTCGACCGCAGAAACCGAACAGGTTAAATCTCGATCGTTGTCCTCTATCTGTAACGCGTAGGCGACTGGATCGAATCGATCCATGACGGATCATTTTTCAAAGACACGAACGGCAACGCCAAAACCGTTCCTTCGAGAAGGATCGATCCTTCGAACAGGAACCGAGAAAACGGCGCTATTGCGTTGTAACCGCGCGAATATCGCAACCCAAATCGCGGACATACCTGTTCGTCGCGGCTGAATAACGAGAGAAGAGTGCAGACAGGGTGGCGATGGGGAGACTGTTTCGGAAGGACGAGGAAGACGAGAGGCGATGGAACGATCGTAGCTTATCTAAGCAAACGAACAGGACGAGGCTTCGTTTCGTCCGATGCATCGTAATGAATACGCAAAGTGTATTCGAACACGCTAGCCGAGCGAACGATAATAGCCCGATGGCGATCGTCTTTTTGGTCTGGCTACTACACGTGTTGCGGGACAACGAACGTCTAGCTGGCGTTAACGCGGCTGGTTAATTTTATTACGGATTTTTCTTCCATCGCTATTCAAACGACCGTTAAACGAATCGAGTCGGTCGGCCGCGAGATTACGATTCGCCTGACAAATTTCTGTCTCGTGAGACACGATCTATTTCAAACATACTTACATCGGCGATGATTAGCGGCTTAGTACCGTGGTTAATTAATATCCCGGCAGAGCGTGTATTTCGTTATCATCAACGGAGGAAACAGTCGACCGCGTTTAGTACAAATTAGCAGTAGAAGCAGAACGTTAGGGTCAGACAGCTAATCACCGTGCTCTCTCTCTCTCTCTCTATCCCAGTGTATCGATAAAAACACTTTTCAATGTTCCAGGCCGAGTTTTCGTTATTCCTAAGCAATTTTACAAGGTGCACGTAGCAAATGAACCAGCGTATCAACTTTACGAGTCTCTACAAGCAGGTGAATTTATAGATCCGGTCAAGCCGTGGTATAGTTACGCGTGTACATGGTAAGTCCTTCTTAGTATCGCAATTATATCGCCTACAATGTACAGTTGTTCGTGAAAGTATCCTAACACTCCTAGAAACGCTTTTTACGAATATGTTGCGCGCGTTATATAAAACATTTTGAAACTTGGTCGACGTAAAGTTTGAAAGAAATTTCGCCTGAAGCGAGCGATCGGGTGTCGCAAAAACGCACGGAAACTCCAAAAAACCGAAACGAATTCGTGTATGTATTTTGATTCGCCACGGTGTCGCGCGTACGTACGACGATGCATAGAATGGAGAAATGGAGAAAACAATTCGGGCCGGTCGATCCGTTACCGGCGGCATTTAAAAGCGTCTTCTGTTCGTTGCGCGCCAAATGAGCACCGATCATTTCGCCTGATACAAAAATTACGTATAATATCATTTCATTACGTTCAATTTAATTAACGTCAATCATGTTAATTGCCAGCCGACTCCGTAGAAGGGTGTGTAATTACCCGCCTCGATGTGATGTATCTGATGCGCGAGAACCAGACAAGAATTTGCTCGTTTCGATCGCGACCTGGCCGGGCAATTACGAAACAAAGAACGAACGAACGAACCGGCCGTAAGAGAGGGAAATAAAATAGCATCGCGAGAAACTACAGGGAGACGAACAAATGTACTTAAAGGACGGACGAATCGTAAGTTCACGGGACGGGCTTTCGAACGAAATGAGCCTCTTGTTGCGTGCGAGCCACTCTTTTTTGCGACTTTCTCTATTTACGCGTTTCCGAGAATAGCTTCTTAGCCTCTTACAAGCTCGAGTTCTACGTATTTCAGGCTACGATATTTCCAAGTATCTAATATCTGGCTGAACGATCGATTAAATCTCTTCGCAGTGTAACTCCCGTTTACTCGCGGCTCCTTCGTACGAACAAATTAACGCTCATCTTCGGCCGAGCTTTTGTTACTCGAACTTGCGAATCGCCGTTGTATAGAGTTGCACGTGTATCTCTATATCGACGGACGATCGTTCGTTCGAGCGGTGTTTCGTAGATTGCGCGTGTGTCATAAAGGGACAAAATGCACAGACGTGCTCAACATCGGTTTTCCGTGCATTATCTCGTATCGTCGGAACTAATAAGAGGAGATAGCCGGTAAATCTTCGTCTTCTTCCCAGACACGTTTAGTCAAACCGTGTTTTACTATACACATTTTCAAAACCTAATAGTCAATTTCCATATTGGTACTTGAGCGTCCGTTATTTACTTTCGACCACTCAACGAGGACATACAAATTTACGATCGTTTGATTATCTCCGCCGAAGTACGTAATTTCTTCGAGCAATACTCTACGGAGTATAGCAACTAAACGCGTAGGATTTCTTTACGTCCGACGAGTCTACACGCGTTTGCAAAGCCGCGCGCAAAACGCTTCTCCTCTAATGGCTAATTGTTCGCGGCGGTTAGAAGCTTAATGGCAAACTCTTTCGACGAGTCTCACCTGCGTTTCCGTGAGGTGAAGGGACGACGAGAATTCCGCTCGTTCGGCGATGGTTAGGTACTGCTTTTCGCGAAATTTTTTCTCCAGGGAGAGCAGCTGCTGCGTGGTGAACGGTGTCCTCGGCTTGCGATTTGGCTTGTGCTTCCTCAGGGTGCACCTGACCGGCCCTGGCCCCGGTCCTGGCAGCCTCAGATCGCCTGCAACAGATCCGAAAAACTGCCGATCAGTGATAAAACACGATTGAATGGGGACTGGTTCTCCCAGCAACGTCCACTTTGGCGAATTAGAGATTTATTCCAGGCAAGTCGAGGATCTTTTGCAAGATCTGTGGAATAGGGCGTTGTCGAAGAGAGTATCGAGCCTTTTCAAAGATACTTGCGCGAAGAACCAAAGAATTAATTACCTTTCGAGGTAGGTAGATTAATTACGTGATCTGCCGAAGCAAAGGTAACGAAACACGGCGGTTTAAGAGGCAACGTTATAAACCGGCGATGTCCACGACCGCGATGGCGCAGCGCTCGCTCGATCGCTACACGAGAGAATATGTCTACACGCGGAATAATTAACACGAACGATCACATCGGGGAAGCGAATTAAGATATCGACGGCACGGAACCGTAGAGTATTTTTTGGCCATGCGATAGTCCAGGTAATTATTGTCGTATTATCGAGGCTGATAAATTAACGTTCGATATCGTGGTTACCGACGCACGGGGAAACACGATGGAAAGAAGAGAGAAGGGAAGTCGCAATTATACCATTATTTTCATCATCTTTCTCCGTGCCACTCGTTAATGATTAATGCATTTACGGATATTTACGCTTACTTACTAGACCGCTATTTATACACAACGAACGCGAACACACGTTTCTTCCGTCTGTCTCTTCCTTCGGGCGGCTCTCGATCGATTAAAAATGCATTATGTCGGTCGATCGAAGCAGCGAAAGGAAGATCGTCCATGCTATATATGTATATATTTATATATATATATATGCTTATCGTTTATTATGTCATCGAACGCGATAGAAACGAGAGAGACGCCCTCGAATATCCGATAGCGTTACAAAGTTCGTAATATTAATCATGTCTGCGCAGATTTGTTCGGATGGTACGAAATTATCGTCGCGTTATTCCCGTGTACGCGTTGCATAATAATTATCCGCGAGCCACCGATAACGTTCACCGACGGCCGTTAATTAGCGCGCGCGCGTCCCTTTCAACGAAAACGCGCTAAACTTTTACCGGTTTCCTTCCTTTACCGATTTCAATTCGGTTCGTCGAGAACGATTTTACGCGATTTCATTATTCCAGCACCTTAAGTTCAGTCCTTGGCTTCGAAGTATCGACGCTCGTACGAAATGGCAAGATCATCCTCTTTTGGATGTCGTCGGGGAAATCGGCGTACGCGACTGTTCGACAAATTCACCTCAGGTTCGACACGAACCAAGTACAGAACGCCAACTGGACTTTCATCGATTGCAAGAAACTCACGGGAAGGAAAAAGACAAAGAGACAGAAACGATCGAGATGGCAGCGCGAAAATCCAGCCTCGTTTCGCGTTAACGATCGCGTTCACATAAATTACCCGGTCGTCGATCGTGCGTGCGCACGCGCGTTTCTCCGCGACCAGCGTCGACCGTTCGTCGTTTAATCCCCGATTTACAGAAGCGAACCCGGGCACGTTCGACCGCCGAGGCCAACGGTTCCCCATCGATCGGTTGCCAACGATCGATAAAATTGAATCGTAAAGAGGAAAAAAAAAATAAATCGTTTGCCCGTTACGCTCGCGTTTCGTTCAACGCGGTGATTATCCTCGCGTCCTGCTGCCGTTCGATGATTAACTCGTACGCGTGTCATTAGTCGATCCTTCCTTCTGGTCTGCTCTCGTTTTGCTACGGATTCTTTCTCCGCCAGAGGACGACTGTCTCGTCGTTCGTGGTATTTTAAAGGAACTCGCGAGCTTCGAGCATCCTTGTACGTTTCAACGTAGGCATACCCGTTGCGATCGAACGTCTGTCTATAACGTCTGCCGGTTCTACGGCAAAGAAACTAATTACTACTCGTTTACCTGAAAGCTCCAGCCACTCTGTAAAAACTACCGTTCTACCGTTACCTCGTCCGTCGATTCATTTTTACGATGCAATTTTCACCATGGACAAGGCGACGTTAAGGGGACACACAATTCGCCGCGTCGCTTCACCGGTACGCTCGATTATCGTTAACGGTACGAAGAAAGGAAGCGTCGTTAGCGATCGTCCGTCGTCGATCGGTAGGTACAACTATCGCTATAGCATCGGCAAGCTGAATCGGTAGAGTACGGCGACGTGTGGACGATTTCGTTGGTCGGCCCCAGTGACAAAAAGCCACTGTTCGGTCGAGGACCGGGTCGAAAGGATGACGATTTCGTGGCAAGCAGCGGGGCAACGGCGAATTCCACGCGCTAATTAACGATCGGCCAGGGACAAAAAGCGGGGAACGGGCCGGCGGCATTGTCCAGCGGATCTGTCGCGACATCGGTATTACGTCTTCCATTCTGGTTGGCGTTGTCCGTTTCACCGCTATCGACCAGCCTGCTTGGCTAGTCCGCTCACATAACCGATCAATATGTTCCTCTTAGAGGCTAATTAATTTCTGCTAATTAAACGCTCGCTAGGATCTCCGAGGAAATATATCTTGCGGCCTGACTTTCCGCGGAGCGCGTGGACAAAGCACCTGCGCCTGTCCCTGGCCAGCCTGGCGGAACTTTTGCGCTCTTTCCTTTCGTGTTCTCGCGTTTGTGCGCGAGTTTGGCTTGGCATTGTCTCTCGGCACCACGTGGCACACGGAAGTTTCAATGGGCGATTGCGTCGGCTGCTTGCGACACTCGGCCGCTGAGAGGCGTTCGCGACGGCGTTACTCGAAGAAACGATCCAGGATATTCGAAAGGAATACGTTCCGCGAAAAGAAGCTTCGAGTATAGATTCGAATATTCGCGTGGCTGTTTCCGCGGCAGAAAAAGCCAATTAGAAATCTATAGCGCGTGAAAAGCTCTCCTGGTCCGGGAAACGACTTCCATGTACAAACGATGTTAATCGACCAACGATAGCGTAAATCTCAGTTCCGATAAGACAAGCGACTGCGATCGCTTCGCTTTTTGTGCCTCGTAATTGGAATTGCGATGGAAGAAAGCAATTAGTCGTGGCCGACGTAAAGATCGAGTAAAATCAAGTGATCGTAATTAACGGTTGCTCGAACGTATGTACCTACTGTATTCGATATTTAACGGTTTACGAGATTTTAGAACACGACACGAGAAAGTTGCCCTTAAAATATCCACGCTTTCTTACTTTTTTCTCCGATAACTCCGCGTCACGGAGTCGCGTAAAATGTTCGTTATTAATTATCGAGATTTATCGCGAATCATTTGTATCGCGAACTTCTTCTCCGTACATCTAACGCATTATCTACTCGCGAGGGAAAGAGTAATGAATTCCCAATGAAGTTGCTCCATCGCGGCGGCAATAAATTCTTTGCCGGGTAAAATAGTCGCTGATGAAACGCAGAACGAAACGGGTTTCATCTTTTGCTCTCTGTCGACGCTCGCGATATCGCGCTAACAATTCGCGTATCGCGGCCAGTTACGTCTCTTACTAATCACCGGCCCCTCGTTCAATATGTTTCTTATGAACGACAATTAATTTCTGCTAATTAAATGTTCGCATAATTTATGATCGATACGTGGCAGCGTATACGCGCGAACGTTCTCCGCGGAGAATCCAGATATTCGTCGACTCTCGGCCAGCAGCGCGACAAAGTTTCCGACTCTTTCGCAAATAAGACGAACCTCCAACTCCGACCGACCAATTATACTTTTACTCCTGCTCTGCTGCAATAAGTTGCACCCGATTACTAATTTGCCCGCTTTCTACGATTAATTGCGGATCATAAGCCGCTGGGATAGCAAGCGTGCGTTGTTCTTCCTATATAATTTTCTTTTATCGTTCAATCTTCTACCAGTTTCCGTGTTATGGCAATATCACTTTTTGCGACATCTCTATCCTCCAGCAAACTCTACGTTGAACACTTTGACGTTAATTTTTCACCTAAATGTCAGGTTGTAACGAGTATTGAGAAATATTATAGAAACGTTAGTCGTGTTACTTGCGTTAGCTGCAACGAACGAACACGGTACAGGTACCTGTGTATAATTTCATGTAATTCACTAAAAGCCCAATAACGTCCACGTTGTTTTCCGCGAAAAAGACGATAAGATAACGGATAATCGTTGCTTCGATTCCCTTATCGAATAAGACACGGAGACTTTTTTTTTTTTTTTTTT